GAGCAGGGAGCCCGATGCGGGGCTCGATCCCAGGACCCTGAGATCATGACCTGAGCTGAAGGCAGACGCTTAACGACTGAGCCACCCAGGTGCCCCTAGAGATGAAGTTTTAAGTTAGAATTTTCCAAGTCTTCACATATGTGCAAAAAATTAGTTGTTTGTAAGTTTATAGGGATTCAAGACATAAGGTTAGGAAATACCCTTAGAAACTTCAGAAGCAAAACAGATGTGGGAACTGGTTTTTGAAAATTTGGTCTTCAGAGTTCTCAATTCTCAGCCTTAAGGTAAATTTGTGATATTTTTACAAAGAGAGAAAAGGAAAATACTATGCTTTGAAGTAGAAAGTATTATGTGCCTAGTTTTTTTTGGCTGCAATTTTATGATACAGTAAAGAACCATAATGATTTTTTTTATTTTTAAAAAAATGCTAAGGGGCAAAAAGAGCATGCACCCAACAGTGTGTCCCACTAACTTAAAGCAAAACCAAAAAATAAAAAATAAAAACAATATACAGAAGCAAAATAATGAATTTTCTTTTGAAAATTTTCATAAGAAAAGTCAAATCTGCAAATCATTCAGAGTAAAATATATGTTTATAAACATATATATCTTTATATATATGTATATAATGTTTATAAACATACAAAAGAAAGAATTCCTGCTTTCAAAGAACTTTATAGGCTAAAAGCACAAGTGAAGAAAAATATTTTTGGAAAAAAATTATAGGTCATGAGATGTAGTAGATGCTTCATCAGTAAGGAAGCTCCCATTTTCTCCTTGTAATAGTATATTTTCAGATTTTCACACTGAAGTAAGTATGCTTTAGTGCTCCAAGTTAATGAAGAACATATTCTCTTCAATTTTCTGTCCTCCTACCCATCTTTTGTAGGTGTCCTTAAATGTTGGCCTTCTTGCTGTCTTTCACATTGCTACTGGTGGAAAGCACAAAATGGACATTTCTAGGAATACTTGATGAAGAACTGGTGATATGACCCTGCACCCAAAGACCTTTAAGATGTGAAAAAGAGCAGAGCACCCAGCAGGCTCTGAATTATGTCTTTGTGCTTTAGCTACAAAACTTCAACATGCTCAGATGTTCATTAACTGCACTAATTCCAGTTTGTGGACCTGGAAGTGGAAGGAGGTGGAGAAGCAAGAGAAGGAGCTAGCTGTGAGACTGCTGAATAGATGCAGAATCAAGCAAACGGAAGAAATAATATTTCCCACACTTCATGGTTAGTGAGCCAGAGACATTTCATCAATGCAGAGCTTAAACTGAAGTTTGCTTCTTAAAAAGCAGGGATTTCATTCACATAACCCTCCTGGATGGTAGAGACTGTTCAGCCAGGCCTGTACATCTTCAGGCCGCTGAGCTGTAGCCCTACTCCACTCACCTCTGCTGTCCCCAGAGATGAGTCTATCCCTAAAGGAAGCGGGCAATATGCACAACTCCAGGGGGCACCGTTCACACACACTACAGCATGAATGGTGCAATGTGAAAGCTGCTCCCCTGAGCTGTGCCACATGAGGTGCTCCTGCCAGAGGGATGCTGAGGCTGCTGGGGCTCTCTCGGTCAGGACAGAGACACTAGTTAAATTGCTAGAGCCTGTAATGAGCTGTGAAAAATGGATAAGGAGATCACATTTTTTCAAAGATTAATGATAAATGTCATTTACATAATGAACTGTAGACTCTGATGAGAAATTTAATTTCCTAATCCTTCAAAACCTATAGGACTCTCTGAGTCATAACCCCACCCCACTACTCTTTTGTCTCATTTCCCTCTGACTTTGCATATTCTCTTCCCCTATCCCCAACCCTTGCCCACATCCCTCCATTTGTACCTTTCATTAGTATATGTCTTCTCGGTATGTCTCTTTCTTCTTTCCTTCTGTTAGTAACATTTATTTCTCTGTTCTGCTATTTTTTAGAAGATTTTATTTATTCATTTATTTGAGAGAGAGAGAGCAAGAGAGCAAGCAGGAGGGAGAGGGAGAGAGAATCTGAAGCAGACTCCGCGCTGAGCACAGAGCTGGACAGGGGGCTCAATCCCACAGCCAGGAGATCATGACCTGAGCCGAAACCAAGAGTCGGACCAACTGAGCCACCCAGGCGCCCCCCTGTTCTGCTATTCTAAGCATTGCCAATATGTCTCCTCTTCTCTGTCTCTGTTTTTCCTTTCTGTGTCCCAGCAAACACCATTCATCTCCATCTGCCCTTTTTACTGTCTATTGACCCTTTCCCTTGCTATTTCCTTCATCTCCTCTTGTCAATATCCAGTTTCTTCTGTTTTTCTAGTTTTCTGTCCTTTCCTTCAACTGAACGTAATGAGAAGCCAAAGTACACTTGTCCAGTGTTCTCTCTGTGGTCCCAGATTGATTTTCTTCCATGTTTTTGGTCCTTGAGAATATACAGAATACATTTGGGGATTCTAAAGTAAATCTCAATACCCTTGATATTTAAAGCCAGCATTTTCATTATACTTTGATATACTGCAACCTTACAAATATTTATAATACATACTGATGAATATTTTTATAATATTTATTTCTTCCAACAAGACTACTGAAGTCCAGGCTGTGTGATCCTTCAATTCAAATGTACATATCCTCCTCATTGACTTTAGAATTCTTGAAAAAATGCTCAAAACTATGTCAGAATGCTGCTCAAGCATTTATTTTTCTGTGGACTTCTTGTGTACACAAAAGCCAAGCCTACCTACTGGCGTCATTCCACCCAATTATTATACCGCCAATAACGTCTGCCTTTGGGCAACAACAGTTTTATAATTTTGGAACACAAATAATGATTTAGACAATGCTGAGTTAGAATCTAAAAACTGGTTCAGTAGAAAAATAATATAAAATGAATAAAACATTACATTAATTAAGAAGAATAAAAGGGACAAAATTCAAATACACAAAATGAGAATTGGTTGAGGAAGAAAATAACCACAGAAGCAGAAGAATCAATTGTGACCAAATAAATTCTGAAAAGGGGGATAAAATAAGTAGTATTCAAAGGAAGCATAATCTGCTAAAATTGACTAAAGAAGAAAGAAAAAGATGAAAAGAGACTGATATTCAGGATTGATACTCCGGATACTTTTATGGCATGGACCTCAAACAGTAAGAACTGAATTTATTGTACCTGTGCATTCTGGCTGAATAGCCTTGCCAATAGCCATACAAAAATAGATAAATTTGACAAAGAGCTCCCCTTAGGAGAGGCATAAGGTACTGATGGTTTAAAAGGGAATTCTATCAAACCTTAAAGGAGTAGGTAATTCCAAATTACTGAAATTCTTTTAGAACATAGAAAAGAAAATAAATAAGAACTTAGTATTTAATAAGTATAACATTTTAAATCAGAATAAATGTTGAAAGGAGATAGGTGACTCGATAAATATTGTTGGGACAGCTGAGTAGCCATCTGGATTGACAACTCACACTACACACACATACACACACACAAATTTCAAACGGACCAATGACTAAAATATTCAAAATAAATCTTTAAAAGTACCAGAAAACAATATGACAACATTTTAATCATAAAATGAAAAGTTTTCCTAAATAGATATGTAGTGAAATTTTGATAATTTATATTACTTAGAAAAATGACTAAGATAAAAAATACCATAAGCAAAATTTAAAGAAATAAGAAGTGGAAGGAAATATAAACATTTGTAGCTCTTACCATAGACTAAGAGACACATCAGTTAATAGGGAAATAGTTCTTGCAAAGCTAAGTGAAAAAGATATAAACTCAATGGAAAAAATGGGCAAAAGAAATCGTTAATTCCCATATAAAGGAAAAACAAAAGGCTCTTAACATATGAAAGGTATTCTAACTACTCACCTTAAAACTATATTTAAAAACATGTTTCACTTTTCAGATTATCAAAACCCAAAAGTTTGTCAACACTCACTATTGGAAAGAATAAAGAGAAACAAGTACTCTCAGATATTGCTGGTGGAGATATAAATTTGCACAATTCCTCTGAAAGCTAATTTGGAAATATCTACCAAAATTACAAAGGCAAAAACACTCTGACTCAGAAATCACACTTCTGAGAATTTATCCTGCAGGCATTCTTCCTCATATATAAAAAGACCTATGTGGAAGGTTAAATTTTGTGGTAGTATATAGTAGCAGACAATCTAAAACAACCCAGATGCCAAACAATAGGAAACCGATTAAATAAATGGTGGTACATTCATACTAAGGAAACCATCGTAACATATTAAAAATATAATAATAATGAGAAAATTCTCTATGTAGTGGCATGAAAAAAATATCTAAGAAATGAAGTTAAATAAAAAAATTAAGATGCCAAATGATATATTTAGTATGCAAACTTTAATGTAAAAATGGAGAGACAATTTAAAATATACTTATAATTTATTTCGTTTACATTTTATAGATCCTGGAAGGATACACAAGCAATTAATGATAGGGAGAGATGGGGGGTAGACTAGGCAAATGAAGGTCAGTAGTGGGAGGGGGGCTTTCACCATATTAAAACACTAATTTATATTATATAATATTATCTATTTTAAACATGAGGAAATAGTTGCTAAGAGAGAGTACTTGCTTATGATAGAATACCTAGAAGTTGTTGGAGCCAAAATTTGAATTGAAAAAGAGAAAATGAGTTAAATAATGTGGCACATGATTATATATAATTTGTATGACTTTGAAATGCAGTATATTAGAATAACAGGACTATTTTGAATAGTGCTTCACTTTACCTTATAGTAACATGTAGAACTCTTTTCTTCATGTAATCCTTTTTGTTCAGATATTTCACTGGATCCTGTTTTTTCAGTGGTTCTTTCAAAGGAAGAACATGGGTTTCGGTGGAGGGGAAGAACAGTTTGGAAAGAGCATTGGCAATTCTCCATCCTATATATTTAGAGAAAGTTTCATCCCCTACATTTGATGAGACTTTTGTACTATAATTAGTGAAGGGATCAGTTGGGTCATTTAACTCAGCCTGTTGAAAGAAAATAAAAAGGAATCAATTGAAATAGAATTAAATGAGAGGGAAAAATGATATATTTTTAAATAAAAGACAAATGTAGGTTCATTTTCTTTGACTAATGTTGCATTCTTACTAAATAAAAATAACCTTTATAAGAAAAAAAGCAGATTCCCAAAAGATTTTTAAAAATTGTTATTAATGAAATAAAAAATTAAGCATGAACAAAACCAGTTTTTAAATTTCAAAAATTTAATAATATAATTCCCTTTCTTTTTAAAGATTTATTTATTTGTTTATTTGAGAGAGAGAGAGAGAGCACAAGTGGGAAGGGGGAGAGGGAGAGAGAATCCCAAGCAGCACAGAGCCCACAACAGGGCTTGATATCATGACTCCGAGATCACGACCTAAGCCGAAACCAAGAGGCAGACACTTAACCGACTGCACCACTCAGGTGCCCCTTAATGATATAATTTCTATTTTAAATTTGTATAGTTCCCATACATGAATTTCATATTTATAATACTTATTAAGAAATTAAGCCATCAGTTGAAGGAATGTACATGTTTTATTAAATCAGAATTTCATTTCTCTGTACATAATCTAAACTTTCTTTGAAACCAACAAAAAATCTAAACTTTCTTTTAACAAAATTTGTGTTAAGTAAAAAATGAAAAGAGCTTTGTATTTAGCTCACATTGAAGATGTTCTAGGATTTATATTTAAATTTAATTTAATATTTTCTAATCTTTTAAAAAAAGACCTAACAAAAAATTCCACAATACTTAAGCAATTTTTAGTCAAGAAAGAGCTATTTTCTGAAATTTCCTATTTATGTTCAATAATGTCCATGACTGATTTTTAATTAAACCTCCTTTTGAAATGGCTAGAGGCATATTTTCTCTGGCTAGAATTGGTAATGATAAATGAAGATATAAGTTTCAAAATCTCATGTGTCACATTTTTTTTTAAATGTTCACAATATGTTCATGCTAGGAATTGTTTCATAAATAAATTGGATGCTGCCTCCTTGCATTAAAATTTTTACATTTTTTATTCAATATTACCCACCTTCAGGCAGTTTATTACCAGTCACTCAGGATTCATTTTATATGCCTATTGACCATATGGTAGAAAATTAAGGAATAGAAAATGTTTTTCTGCATATGAACATCCAACTTAAACTCTTTAAGATGTCAAGATCAGATTTGGCTCAATCAAATTACTGTTTAAAGATTGACTATTGCATTTAGACAATTATAGTGGGAAAAAATGGGAGCAATCTCATAAAAACTGAAAAGCATAAAGGGTAAAGCAATGAAGAAAATAGCAAAAGGCAGTTAAGTAAATAGGGATTACTGTGAAAGCTCTGAGGGATGGGAAAGAGTAAAACGTAAAACCATGTATGTTTAAAGTATATAGTATAAACAAACAATTATGTCTATACTATTCCCAGTTGTTGCATATCTTGATTATTAACTAGGTTGAAATCATACAAAGAGCATTCCATTTGAAGTAAGAAATTAAACTGTGTCTAGGACACTTCGTATTTGTTGTGACTTTGAGGAAATTAGTTAATGTCTCAAAGCCTGCAGGTTCATCTGCTAAAAGGTAATTACAGTACCTATATTTTTCTAGCCATTTATTTTTATTTAGTTTGTGTTCAATACAAATCAATTCCATAGCCTGAGAAGTTACTATGAACAAAGGCATAAATACACAAATACAATATATAATCCAAAATAGGTGCACAACATTCACATATGAAACAAATGTAAGGTTCAATCACACACTCAGTAGCTTGAGATCTGTTGAATATGGTTGTTCCAGGGTAGATTTCTAAAGATTAAAAAAAAAAAATGACCTTAGTTATCAAGACTACTTGTGGGGACATTAGATACTGGAACATGTAAGCATCAGTGTGTGACCATGTGAACAAAAGACTTTAAGGAGTATCTATTTTTAAAAAGGTTTCTGTGCCTCGAGGCAGCTGTGAAAGATTTACTTTCCAGAATTCAGCACACTTTAGGCTTAGGACCAGGTTTTAATTATCTAAAAATATTGACTGATAACAGAAAGCATTCCAAATGAGGCTATTCTGATTCATAGAGTTTCTTCAAAAAGTATTTACAGAAAGAGTACAAAAATTCTGAATTTAAGTTTCCACTCTTCACTTCCCATACTTGATTTAGAGTTTAATTCACATATTTGCCTTTTTAATTTCAAGATGTGTCAACTTTACCTTCAAAACAGATCATTTTTTAAATTGTAAAAAGTATTCAACATATGCAGAAATAAAAAGCATTTTGAAATTAGTTGAAGTCAATGCACTTTTTGGAATCATTTTAGCTAAATGAATCTGGCACTTCTGTTGAATAAGAATAGGTGATAAGTATATAAGCAAAATTTACTCATTATGCTTGGATTTGGGGTAGACTCAGTCCATCACTGCCCTGGTACATGTCAATTACTATATAAAAAGTCAAATGCGATGTCAAATCCAAAGCCTCAAAAAAAAGAGTTCACGTCTCAAGAAACAGTGATGGTTAACAATATCTAGAGCACATTGGCCTTAAATTAGTACAGCTGAAACATTAAGGAATTACAGTAACACCCGGAAGTACCTTCTATGTACATATAAATAGAATCTTAGAAGCTTTTTGCATTACCTATCTTATGGCATTAATGAACCAATTGAAAACTGAATCTCTTTTCCATATCTCACCCTTTGTCTCTAGATGAGATAAAATCTATTCTCATTTTTAAGGTAGGGTTTTATGTGTCTTGTACTTCTTAAACCACATTTAAGAAAATTCATCTCTTCACGAATTTTGGATGTTGTTTCCCTTCATCTTGTACTTGAAACTCCAGCAGATTTAATATTGGGATTCATTATCTAGTCAAATCCTTCATATGCTCTCCAAACCATTTAATTTTAGGATCCTCAACATTTTCTGTGTCGATAAAATAAGGTATGGAATTAACAGATTCAATGAAGACCTGTTTCTTCCTTGTCACAATGGATATCTACACACCATCAGGATTGGATTTAGAAAATGGGGAAGTACAGGAGACCCCCCCTCCTTATCCATGGTGATGTGGTTGCCTGAAACCATGATAATACTGAACCCTATATATGCTTTTTCTTATACAGACATATGATAGGGTTTAATTGTATAAATTAGGCACAGTAAGAGGTTAACAACCAAAATAAAATAGAACAATTATAACAATATTCCGTAATAAAAGGTAAGTGAATGTGGTCTCTCTTTGTCTCTCAAAATATTGTCCTGTACTCACCCTTCTTGCAATGATGTGAGATGTTAAAACGCCTCTGTGGTAAGATGGGAGGTGAATGACGCATGCGTTGTGAGGTACCATTAAGCTAACTATTGACCTTCTGATGATTGATCATGAGCTTCATCTGCTTCCGGACCATGGGTGACCACGGGTAACTAAAACCTCTGAAAGCGAAACTGCTGATAAGGGAGGACTACTGTGCAGATGTTTCTTGGCTTGAGTTTCATAAGAGTAGAGATATAGAACAGAGAATGAGATCATGAAGAGACTAGCTGTTGACTGCAGAGCGTCACCACTTGTCTTGGTGGTGGAATTAGCTAGATTTGGGGTAGCTGAGGTATTCTGGAAGGAATTACTCGAAAGCATTACAACAGTTGCTTGATTTGAATAAATCTGCGTGGGTAGGAGCATCGCCAACAACAGCAGACCCTGTCTGACTCTGGCCACCAAAGCTTTGCCCAGGTTCCCCTTCTACTTGCGCCTCATGCTGCATACCTTGTCAGATACCAGGTACATGGAGAACCTCCAGCTGGGGTGGGCGCAGGCAAGGTGGTTTACCAATACAGTTTATTCTGCTTACCTTCCCTGGCTCAATTTTTTTATAAGAAAAGGTACTTCAAAATCAATAATAATATGTAATATTATACAAATATATTACCATGAGCTCTTCCATTATAGGAATGATGGATGAGGGGCACCTAGGTGGCTCAGTCAGTTAAACATCTGCCTTCAGCTCAGGTCATGATCTCAGGGTCCCAGGATAAAGCCCCTGCGCCCTGCTCAGCGGGGAGTATGCTTCTCCCTCTCCCTCTGCCCTCCCCTCACGCCCATCCCCCGCTATTGCTCGCCGTCTCTCACTCAAATAAATAAAATCTTAAAAAAAAAAAAAAGAGCGATGGATCAATAAATGTGTGAGTAAATGAATGAACCAACAAAAATAATTTTTGGTAAATTTCTGGTAAAATACATTGTTTCCAGACATAACATTACCCTGCATTACAGAATATTGATGCTGTTTTTATCATGACTCATTTGGTTACCCCTTGCTTTCTTCCTTCCCAGACCAGATAAGTTGTAGATCCAGATGCCAGTTCTTTCAAGAAGCTAAATGAAGGCATTTCTACATCTCTCATCATGGTTCACTGATCGAAAGCCCACATAAATTTCTCTTCCCTGTTGATGTTCAAGGCATTTGACAAACGGAAGTATAGTCTCAAATATCAGTCAAATGCATATTTACCTTATCTAGAAAAGTTTTGTTTGTTTGCTTTCCTGGAGGAAGTACCAGCAAATAATATGGGTTTTGCAATTAGATCTGAAATCAGTTCTGGCTTTTCCATTTATTAGTTGAGGATGCAAACTTTGAGAAAAGTTACCTCACTAGGCCTATGTTTTGTGTTTAGTTTAGTTCTGTCATGTTTTTCATTTGTGATATGGAGATAATAATAACCACTCTCAGAGTTTTGTAAGGGTTAACTTAGCAGGCAGTGAGAAGTTCAACAAGTATCCATCCATTTCTGTCAGGAATTCCCTAAGACAGAGCAGCTCACCCCAGAGAAGACCTGATACAACCTCTGCCAAGGTGAAAACAATTATGTTATATTGTCACTTTTACATTAACAAATTTGTGAAATAAAATCATGATTATTCTACCATAGTCATTTCTTTTTTAGAGTCTTCCTTCTCTTAAAGGAAGGAAGACTATTATTATTCTA